AGTGGGGACAGAAGACAGAAAGTGAATGATCCAGGCCAAGCAAAGCGCTTGTCGGAAACAAGAAATCGAGTATTTCTCAGAGGCGATCCCTACGTCTAAGGAAACAGCGGAAATGCCTCCAGCTCGCGAGATGCCAGTTCAGTAAGTGCTTCTCAGCTTCACTGACCGCTTGAGGACTGATCAGTCAGCATCCCTGGGGGTGGACTAAGGGGCCTCTAGTGTGTGTAAGGTTTGCCTCGTGAGAACAAACCTCAGCGCTCCGGAACTGGAGAAGGAAGCCCACAGACACGAAGCTGGGCAAGGCTGTGGGGGCTTTTGACCAGGGTCCACAGCAAACCCACCCCTAGCGTCACCCACGTGCACTTGAGAGGCCTGTGCACGAGGAGGGAGCTGGCTGAGCCGGGAGATAAAGAACGTCCCGAAGCCCAGCATCGGAAGTGGCCTTGGTGGACACTTGTGCCCATCGGCCGTGGTAACACACGCACAGCAAAACATCGCGGTTCGCAGGTGGCGTGAACTCTGAGGTGCCAGCTGCAGAGACTGAGGTCAGCAGTGAACAAGTGCAGGTTTCCCTACTCCGGAGGAACAAGACTCGCGTAGCACAAGACTGCGTAGCACAAGGGCTTGGGCCTCTTGGTTGGCTTCCATGACGATTCTAAGTTGTTGGAGAGTGTCCCAGGGAAAACCTAAATACCACTTTGAAGGCCATTCAGAAGAAATGTAAAGCTGTTCACTTCTGCAAGTCAGCTTTTTCTCAGAATGTTGCTGGTTACCATGGAGACAGGTTGGTGCCATCCAGGGCACCTATTTCTTGTGTCCTTGAGGTAGTGATGGGGATTTTTTGGTTACATGCCACCATCTTCCAAAAAGGATTAGAGGTTGGCTAAACACGTGATAATGTGACGTAGGTGGAAGAGGGATTGTTTCAAAGGCAGAAGCAGGCAGGAAGCAGGGCCTTTGTCGCCAGGATTGCTCTCATGTGCCAGGCCCCAGCTCCAGCAGAGGGGACCCTGCTAAGCCAGTGTTCTTGTAGCGAGGATGCCATAGGTCCCCACACAGACGCAGGAGAGCACCATGTGGGCGCTGACCCAGGGGACGGCTGTGACTCACCACGTTGAGCCCTGGGCATGGCTGTGGTGTCCTCACACTGGACTCCACTAGACAGCGCTGCTGCAGTTGTGGCCGAGGAGTTGCCCTTTAAAGGTGCCCCTGACTGAACTGCAGAGCTCTGTGTGGCCAGCCTCTAGATTGTCCCATCTAAAAATGTCATCTTCAGGCCAAGCTTGGTCGGTTAGTACTGGGTGGCAGAAAGCAAGGCCCAGGGTACCCATGTGAAAACCAGGGGAGCAGGCAGGAGGGTATTATTGCAGGAACACTTGCAGCCTGGCAGAGTCCCCGCCGAGAAGAGCAGTTTGCCCACCTGGGGTGGATGGCAGGAGTGCCTGGTGGGACTTTCTGGATGCCTCACCCAGGCCTGAGTGGAGAGCCCAGGCTCTGTACCAAGGAGCACATTGGCCACACTCTGGACTGAGGGCTTCTCAGTGTGGGTGTCACTTAGCAGGACCGTGGGGAAAAGTTAGAACAACCCCAGCAAGCGTCACTGAAGACAGCACCCCCATGGGTGGTCACTCTCCCTACCGCACAGATAGCACCAGGGGGTGGAGGGACTCCCCCGGGGACTCCTGGCTGACCAGAAGCAGAGCCAGGAGCAAACCCAGGCAGTCTGCTGTGGAGCCGGTGCTCCAGCCGGACACACTTGAGAGCTCGGAGCATTCTCAAGAGCCATGGAGAGCGAAGGAGCCTCCTGAGCTAAGCTGCCTACAAAACTGGCCCCTCAGCTTTCCGCCCTGCCCCAGGAGTTGCTCGGGTGAGTGGTGCCAGGGCCAGACGGTGGCTGCAGGAATCAGAAGCTGGAATGACCTTCTCACCTTTCATATGTCACCTGCCCTGACCCCATTCAATGCTCCTTTCCTTCCCTGCCTGTGCCTATCTGCCCAAATCAATAAGACCACAGAACAAGAAGGAGCAGAGGTACAGTAGAGAAAAGAGAAGAGGCAACGAGAAGGACGGCAGAGGATGGAAGAGAAGAGAATGAAAGAGGTAGAAGAAGGTCTGTGGCAGGTCTCCTAGCAGACCGGGAGCTCTGTGCAGCCATGCGGGTGAGGAGAGGCTGATCGTGGGCAGTGTCGCCCGCAGGGCAGGCCCTCCACACCTCAGTTGCTCTTTCTGGGGCTCAGGGCAGGGAAGAGGGTCCATCGCCCTGAGGGGCAGGATGGTCCTGTCGCAGCTCGGGCATGGTGCTGAGCGCAGCACTGGTGCCCAGAGAGGCTGTGGAATGAACGAGCGAAAGGACAGACCCCCTGCCGCCTCCCTGTTCTAGGATAAGAGTCTCCTTCTGGGTGTGCGGCATCCTCCTGTGTCCCCCCACCCCGTGGTCCCATGTGTTTTCCCTTCCTCTTTTTATGAGCATCCTACCCCCTTGCCCGCCCCACCTCTGCCGGGTGCTGGGACCGAGGTCCGCTTGCATAACAGGTAATAGCAGGCGTTTCCTCGTCCTGTGACAGGACATCCTGGCGCCCTTCAGTCTCTCCCGAGCACAGGAAAAAAACTCGACTCTAAAATTAGCAGCACGATAGAAGAAAGGCACATAGCTGCTCTCTGTCCTGTTTGTCAATGAAACCAGTCTAAACAGGGCCAAAATGCATTTCCTTTTTGGGCAAAACAGACCTGTTGGGGGTGATGGTTGGACACCAAGGGGGAGAGGGTAGCCGCCCAAAACGCCGCCGAGGGCACCACCCGGTGCTTCTGGTCCTTCCCCACTGGCTGCCACCTGTCTGATGGTTTTGAACAGAGCCTAGTCCGACCTTGTCAGAGGTCGTGGCGGCCTGGAAATGCTCAGGAGAGGCGAGCACAGCTCTGCCCCCACCACCACTCCCCTGTCCCTGCCCGAGGGACGGGGCTCTTGGGAGACCCTCAGCAGCATCCCCAGGATTGCTGCAGCACAACCCGATTTTAGTTAATTGGGGTGCTTCTCCCCCATTTTGATTGTTAAAAATTATGTTATTTGAAAACACCACTATCTTGTCCTGACATAAGAGTTTGTGGGAAGCAAGCGGTCACGTCTGACACGCCAAACCTGCAGGAGTTCTGATAATGCCAACTAGGGCGCTTGGGATCTGTGGAGAAGTACGGTGATCTGCTTGGTGATCCTGCTAGGAGTTATTTTAAGAATCAAAAACTATTACTTTTCTGTTTTGCCACTAAAATATCTTTATTTTAACCCAGTATTTCTAATCACGTTTTTAAAATCTTCCATTTCCTCTTTTAAGGGATGGAAGTTCAGATAGTCACACGTGATGGAGACTGGTGGTTTCGGTACGACTGAGAACTCTCTCTGTTTTATGGCCCTGAGGTTGACAGAGGGCAGTGTGGGTGGCGTCCCGAATGAGACCCGTCACCTGGAATGTCGTGTTTTCACCACTGTTGGGGGGGGAGGGGCAGAACTGAACCTTGATAATGTTCCCCATCTCATTAATTCCGTGATCAGTGGGGGGCAGAGAGCACCTGTTTCACAGTCGTGTAAACTGAGACTTACGTTGGCTCAGGATGTGCCCAAGTTCACGCTGATGGGGACGGAGCCAAGATACAATCCCAGTTCTCCTGACGCCAGGCCCTGTGCTCTTCCTCCAAAACTTCGTGGGGATGTGACTCGCCTGGGACCACGCTGCCGTGCTGGCAATCGCGCCCAGGACAGCCCAGCGTCCCGACCCCCACTTGGGACACCTTCCACCACACAAACACCTGCCCCGGCCCGTCAGCCCCATTCTGGAAATTGTGTTTCTCGAGAAAGATAAGGGCCCGGGATCCGTTAATCCTAGCACGATTCAATTCAGAGCCCTGCCAGTTCCCCGCTGGGGCTGTGTGTCCAACACCGGGAGGTACTGCGGTTCTGCGCCAGGAAGGAAAGGCAGGTGGGTTGGCTAAGACCTGGCCGCACTGGCCGTGTGCTGATGTGTGGTGGCTTTGTCTGTGTCTCTGTCTCCTCAGACACTGAGCTCGCTTGTTCCCAGTGAGCAGCAGGAAGCCTGAATGCGCCAGCATCCATGCCCCTTCAAGCTCCGAGCCCGCCTGACGGGCAGTGGTGGAGGGAAAGCAAGCAGGACACCCCTCTGCCCAAAGGAGGTCCCAGCTGGACAGCTGCTGTGGCATCCACCACTTGTCCGAAACTCCCCAGAATATCCTGTGACTTCTTTATGACGATTCCATCATTCTTACCCTTTAAAGACGGCAAGGTGTTCTTGCGACCTGTCCCATCTCAGCCCAGACTGGTGGGCTCCAGAGTGTCAGAGGCGGCTCCAGGTGCTGACGGCCCAGCACCATGCAGCCACCTTCTGGCCTCGCTCCAGGCCCTACGGCCCCCACACTTGCACAGAGCTCAGGGAAGCCGGTGCCTCATGTGGTCCTGCAGTCTGCATCCGCATCAGAGCCAGGCAGGGGCGTGTGCACGCCTTACTATCTACTGGGCTCTGGTCCTGTCCTCGTCTCAGAAAGGGCCTGCGCTGGAAGCTGTGAGAGAGTGGCCTGCCTCCCCGTGTGTGCAGAGGTGGGGGCTCAGGCTGGCTCTGCTCTTCCCTGGCTGTTCCAGCACTGAGGGAGCCGAGTGACCGCGGCTGCAGAAGGGCCTAGCAGGTCTCAGATCCGCAGACTTAGGAGAGCAATGCCCCAGCCCTGGCGTGCCACCTCAGGGCTTAGAATGGGAAAGGGCACGACAGAGATGCAAAGCCAGGTGGGTCCAAGCGTGTTTCTGTCTTGTTTTTGCCCACAGCAGCAGCAGGAGGGAGAATGCCCCACAGGAGGCTCTCAGTGGTGTGGCCACATACAGAGGTGCAACCTGCAGCTCCCCCTCAGACCACTAAAGGCCCTAGGTCCCCCCAGGACTCCCCGCCTCCCCCCACGGCGGGCCTGAGGGCACAGCTCCTCCGCCTCCCTGGGGTACTTACTCGCCAGCTGGAACGCAGCAGCCATGGCCTCCTCCCAGCACTGGGCGTCAGGGGACCCCAGGGGCAGGCCCACGAGCCCCAGCACGAAGGTCAGCTGGCCTGCGGCAAGCGCCGCTGTGGCAACCAGGTTGCAGGCGCGCATCATGTCGAACTGCACTGCGGGTGAGGGGAGAAGGCAGGTGGTTAGCACGGGCAGGCTGCCGGGCGGCAAGTCCGAGGGCCCAGCCAGGCAGGTCCCCGTGACGGCCACTTACTTTCTTGGTGTCTGAAAGGCAGTAGGCATGTCCAGTGCCTGCTCTGGAAGCGCCACGGCCTCCCCTCGCCCACTGGACAGCCTGCGTGTCTCCCTGACCACTAGAGGCTCCTCCGGCCTCAGCCTCGGCTGCAGGGGTCGCATCCCCCAGGATAGGCTTTTCTCTGTGATTTTTGTCTTCCTGGAACAGCCATTTCTCTCGGTTTGACACAGTGCTCGAAGGAGCTACCATGGTGGGTTGAAAAGGAAAGGAGAATCCACACTCGTGGGTCAGCATGCTGGGTCCTGACTAGTGTTATTTTGTTCTACTGACAAGGGCGCCGGCCTGACCAGAGAGAGCCTGCTGTGGCCCAGCTGCTGTCTGGTGCCATCAGCTTTCTGATCCCCAGGAGGCTGGTGTTGTTTCCCCTCCCTCCTTGTGGGTGAGGGACCTGGGCCCACAGGGATAAGTCGGGCCCTTCCTGCCCCACCAGGGGCAGAGCAGGAGCCAACCCGGGGTCTGCACCCAGGGCCTGCCTTGGGCATCCCTCGCCCCCTGGCCCATTCCGTCGCTCTGCCTGTGGCCAGAGCAGGCACCCGCTTCCCTCACTGGTGGCTCAGGCCTGCCTTCCCTGCTCCCCACCCACACCCTCGGCTCAGGAGCCAGGCAGACGGGGGACACAGACATGAGTTTGGGGCAGACAGAGCCTTTGGTGAGTGAACCACAGAGGGGGCGTTGCCTGCAGGGACAGGCCTGGTCACTCTTCTGGAGCAGAGAAGCTTTATCCTCCCGCAGATAGAACCAAGCAGGGGTGAGACAGTCCACTATGCGCACACGGTGGTGGTGGGCCCCGGCGTACACGGGCGGTGCGTCTGCTGCTGGATACACAGCACGGGAGCCAGATGCTGGCAGAGAGTAGCAGCCTCATCTAATCTTCCGTGCTGTGCTTCTGTATCCCATCTTATTGGACGATATTTAGGAAGTTTTGGTTCACAACGTTAAGTTGTTGCAAATAGTAACACATTTTTAAATAGCTTGCCTTTAAACAGGGTACTTTTCAGATAAATCAACATGGAAGTTTAAGAAACAGACCCTTGATTTTCAGGAGTGGGTCACTGAAAATGCCCTAATCACAAATGTAAGAACTGAGCAAGAAGCAGCAGACTCTTTCAGGAGCCCTGAAGGCGGCTGGCCTCTGGGGTGACCACTGCATTGTCCCACTCGGAGGCAGAGATAGGGACGAGGAAAGCGTGGAGGCTGGCCTGGCATCTCCTGTGTGGGGGCAGTGGCCTGTTCGTGTGATGGGGCCGAGTGTTTGCAGAGACTTGTGGGTGCCTGGCCTCCTCCTAGCAGGCAGCTTCATGGGGAGCCGGAGTTGGCGGAAGCAGCTCGTCAGTGGTCCTTGCACGCCCAGGTGGCAGGTGCCCTGGCCTCGGAGGCTCGGGAGTATGCAGGCTGCTTCACCGTGGTGAGTTTTTAAATGGCTAGAAGTATAGTTTGAGCCACTGTTGCCAATATCAGCAGTTCCATTTGGTCCAACTTAAATGTTTATTGGAATGCAGTTCAGCTTTGCAGCACGGTTTCGTAGGTCATGAGCTGGCACACGTGCGCCTCACCAGCTGGGCCCCTTGGGCTTGGTGCCTGCCTCTCCTTCCACCTCGTGCGGGCTCTGCTCCCTGGCCCACTTGCCCCACACGGCTGTCATTGCAGGGGATGTCTCCCCACCCTCCCTGATGGAATTACCCTGGCAGTGTGTTCTGCCACGATGCCAGGCACACAATGGGCAGCTCTGCCTGGGCCTGTGGTGTCTGTCCCTTGTCCATGTTGTTGGGGCCCTTCTCTAACTCCTGCTGTGAATCCGTTAAGTCCCTGAAGCCATGCCTTCCTGGGTGCCCTCACCTGCAGACCAAAGGCAGACCCCCAGACCCCTCCACCCCTCCGATGACCCGAGTTGGCAGCCAGTTTAGAGTGGGTGAAGCTGCCTCTCGATGAGCGTCCGAGGGCCTCAGGAGCTTCTTCTGGCTGGTTAGAGGCCTTCATGCACTGCCTGGCTCTGCTCTCGGGAGCTGGTCGTGACCAAGGGCCACCTCCACACAGATGAGGGCCATTAAGTGGCATTGTGGAGAGGCCGAGAAGAAGCAACACCTCCCCTTGCGGGGTGAGCAGGCGTGTGGGATGTGGCTCACTGTCCACCGTGAAGTAGCCCCATTCCTGCAGGTCTTTCTCAGGCCATGAAGTCAGCGGGGGATGAGCCACCCCCGATGGGCGTGGGGATCTGCTGGTGGGGCCCTGTGCCGTCTGAGCACTGTCTCCACCAGGAGGCCCTCACGCACCCCGCCTGTCCTCAGGCTGGACGGTGTCTGATTCGTGCTCCTCGGCATTCGGCATCTACATTCAGGCCTGTGGAGTCACAGAGTCTTTGGAAGATGTTTTGCCATTTCCCGCCACCAAGGGCCGGCCTGTCCTGCCCATTGTTTTTCGAGCTGCCTCCCTCCATGGCATCCCCTTCTGTGTCTGGGCTTGAGGGAGCGCAGCCTCAGCCGTCCCGGATGCCAGGCGTTTCCACGTGCCTCGTCCAGCCTGGGCGTCGCCCCCAGCTCTGAGGCCAGCGGGCCTTGTGCACACCGTGTAAAGAGCACTGATGCACGAAGGACACAGAGCACAGAGACCCCTGGGCTGCTGGGAAGCCCGAGCCTTCCACTAGGAAGAGCGGGACGGGGAGCACACTGCCAGCCAGGTAACTGCCACCGACTGACCTCTCACACCTCGCTGAGCCCCAAGGCAGGGGCACCCCAGCCTCAGCATCTTCACCTCCCCCAAGGCCAAGGGCACCACAACCTATGCAGGGGGGTGGGTGGGAGCCAGGACTCATGTGGTCCTCACAGCCAGCCCCGGCATGACCATACATAATGTGTAGGAGACCAGACTCAATCCTCCATGTTTTGAAAGTGTCCTGTCCCCATGTTAGGGATGAGTGTGTGCTCCAGAAGGTTCCTTTCCAGTATGATCTGGAAAACCATCGGGAACTGTCCTGAGGTTGGTGTTCTGAATAATGCTCTGTCATGTTAACACTTCACTTCATAATCATTTTTACCATTTGTATGACCATCTGGAAGGCTCTGCTACTCTAAAAGATCATAGAGTTTGGGGAGTATTAAAATATCACGTGGAATATTAACAGCGCAGGACAGCAGAGCCGCTTAGGTTCATGGCGGCTAGGTTCCGAGCTCTGCCTTAGAGGCCGGAAAGGCCGGAATGAATGGAGGCAGGGATGGGGTGGGCGGGGCCGCCAGGGAGGAAGCGGCCTTGAGTGAGCTGGAGCAGCAGGGCTACAGTGAGGCCAGATGACTGAGGCTCCCAGGAGCCAGGAATGGCTCAGACCAACTCCTGACCTGTCCTTCCACCCCAGCCCTGCCCTCCCAGCCGCCCTTCCTTGCAGCTCCGAGCAGCCTGTGCACACACCACGGCAGAGGCTCTGCATGGAAGCCCCGCCCCCACCGCAGAGGGAGTCTTCGCAGAGCTGGTTGGCGTTTTTTTTTTTTTTTTTTTTTTTAGACAGAGTCTCACTGTGTTGCCTGGGCTAGAGTGCCATGGCGTCATCCTAGCTCCCAGCAACCTCAAACTCCTGGGCTCAAGCGATCCTCCTGCCTCAGCATCCCAAGTAGCTGGGACTACAGGCGTGCGCCACCATGCCCAGCTAATTTTTTCCATATAATTTTAGTTGTCCGATTAATTTTCTATTTTTAGTAGAGACGGGGTCTCGCTCTTGCTCAGGCTGGTCTCGAACTCCTGAGCTCAAACAATCCGCCCACCTCAGCCTCCCAGAGAGCTAGGATTACAGGTGTGAGCCACCGCGCCCGGTCTGGTGTTCATTTCTGAGCTCTTCACCTGTCCTGTGCTGTGTGTGTGGCCCTAGATGGCCACACCCTGACTTTCAAGGGTAACAGAACCTGGTTCCAGCGTGTCTGGCCCAGCAGTGGGTAAAGCCCACGTGCTGTGTTGCATGCCCCACGCATAGTGCGTCTGACATCGGCGGGGTATGCAGAGCGGCTCACTTGGAGCCACCCAAGAGAAGGGCAGGGGCCCCCCCAAGGGAGCGCTGGGCTCAGGTCACCTGCCCTGAGATTCAGTTATGTGATCGTCTGTTCCCGTGCCACCTCGTCTCAGGACTCATGGTGCCTGACAGAATGCGTGAAATACAGAAAGATGAAATAAATGTGTAAAATGAGACAAAGAGACAGTGGAGGCCAGAAAGTGAGACCGACCCCGACCTAGGTTGGGAGGTGGACCTCAGGTCCCCCCAGCACCCCTGAGCTCCTCACAAGGCAAAGAGGCCCCTGATCGGTAAGAAAAGTCCTGGTCACTGCAGGCTGCAGAACAGCCACCTGGCAGGAAGACCCCCGTGGCCCTCTCAGGGATGACCCTAGCACTAGACCCCTTGGGATGCCCTGCAGCTTGGGGTGCCCCACCCAGAGCTCAGAATATCAGGGACGGCCCTCGTCCCTCAGGCAGGCCTCTCGCAGTGTTCGTGAGCTACGGCGCTATGCGGTTCCAACCAAGTATGCTCCAAGGGGTGGGACCTCAGGGCACAGAGCTGGCAGGACAGGTCTGCGCCATCCCAAGTGATGTCTGGAGACTCTGTGGACGGCCTGGTGCTCTTGAGGAAGCATGGCATGTGCCGTGTCCTGTCGAGCCCCCGCCCCAGACCGGTTCCCCAGTGGGATCGGGAGGAATCTGGCACCTGCACTCCCAAGGCACAGACGGACGTGGCCCGTCATATGTGTCAGGTGATTTTACCTGAAGATGGCTTAGGTGTGCAGGGAGGAGAGGGTCTGAGCTGACCCGCTTTGAGTTTTGCAGGAGAGTTCTCAAGGCTAGGCCTGACTTAAGGCGGTAGCCAGTGGCAGCCCTTGGTCAAGTGGGGACACAGGCGCACCAGGGCTGCAGCTGCTGGTGGGGAAGCTGCGTGGGCCGCTTTGGAGTGGTTGGCACTATGGGATGAGCTTTGCCGAGGGGAGAAGGCACCAGCAAGAGACAGGAGGAAGAACCAGCATCATCAGGAGAGACGCTGGCAGGTCCCCAACCCTGGGACCTTAGGGGATGGAGCACGCAGCCCAAGGCCCAAGCCCCAAGCCTATGGGCTGGGGTCTGCTGTTGCCCCTCAAGAAGTGCCGGCCTAGTGCTGCTTTGTTCATATTGTGCTTAGTCATGTGAAGCTTGTTAGGAGTTTCGTCAGCAACCAAAATGACCCATTTGGCCTGTGCGTCTTCCTCAGTTCAGTCTGATCAACCTCATTCACGAGAATCTTCCTGTGGACATTTAGATTATTTGAACAAGCGTTTGCTGCTTGGGTGCATCGAGGGCCAGCCGCCTGCAGACACTGTATTCGTTACAGGGGAGTCGGGGGGACCATGAAAGTTGCCATCTGAGCTGTCAGAGGGGCAGCAGGGCTTAAGGGGCCTAGGGGCCAGGCCTCAGTGAGTGGACGGCGGGCAGGGGGCGGGGTGCGGCGGAGGGACACACAAAATGCTCCAGAGGCTGAACCTCGCTCAGGGCTCCCAGGACACCTGTAGGTGTTGGGTGTGGTGCCAAGACATACACGTGGTGGCAGTTAGGAGGCCTGGGGCTGGGGGTCAGCAGGGGACTCCCTCCACCCGGGGGTGCTCTGTGGGATGGAGAGACTAGTGCTGGTCCCAGAGCACATGAGACCCCAGCCCAGGAGCCCCTGCCCACTCTCAGCCCCACATCCAGGGCCGTGCGAGGCTGCTGCCTCCCCCAGCGCCTCGGCCACAGAGCCGCGGGGTTGCTGGCTCTCGCTCTTCTCAGAGCAGAGTCCAGATGGGGGCTCTCTACCAGCAAGGCGTGCAAAGGCCCACGTTCAGCTACATTTGTCTGGCTTCCCTAAGACACCTGAGTTCTGAGAGCTCGTAGAAATTTTGAAATTATTCATGTGCTTTTATCTTTAAGAAGAGAGCTGTGGCTCCTTGCTCACAACGGACCCGAGTGGAGGTGACTGTCTAGGCTGTGCGCTACAGCCGAGGGGCTCTGAGTTGGACAGACGGGTTGGAATCCTCTGCGGCACCATGGCTGAGCCATGTGTCCTCTGCAAGCTTCAGTGTCTTTGCCTATGAAATGGGGGTGGTGCCCTCCCACCCGGTTGCTTGACCACAGCAGGTCGGGGACGGGGTGGGGTTGTTGACAGTCACATGTGGCACATGCGGCTCAAGGACTTGGGAACACTCTCTGGAAGCGTTTAGCAGAGGCATCGCCTAAGCCCAGTGTTTAAAGACCAGTGTCGTTTCAGAAGACGGGGGGAGGTCCGATGCTGAAATACTGAAGTTCCACAGTAGGGGCCGAGGGCCCTGGGAGCCAGAGCCCTCACTGGCAGCTTTACAGAGCGGGGAGACCTTGCACTGCAGCAGAGGTGACTGGAGAAAACCGGGTAGCACCGTGCTCTGAGCCCCAGGAGTCTCCCCTGGTCTCCGGGCAAGGGTCCCATCTGGAGTCAGCCCGGAACCTCCCTCTGTGCTGTTCTCAGGTAAAGACCCGACAGCTGTGGGAGTGAGGTCAGAGCTCGACTTCATGTTTTTAAACTTCCTGCTTGTTTTACTCATGAAAAATATTTATTTTCAACCAAGGAAAAATATCTTTCCTTGTCTTCATTAAGGTACCTGTCCTTGGACTAAGTACAATGGCAGAGAGCAAGCCCCCACTGCCTAAGATGAAATCTCTGTGCAAAGCAGCCAGAGGAAGGGTCTGCCAGGCAGGAGAGCGGTGTGGCCCTCACTCACTAGGGAGAGGGTGGGCGTCAGCCCAGGTTCCCTGGGAGACCAGCGTCCCTGTCTCCCCCGACCCACTAACCAGATGCGCATCTCGTGTCTCCCTGTGCCCGTGGGCCCCGGCCACGCTGAAGGCAACAGAAAAACAGCAGACTTACGTTTGACGGTGCCTCGGGACTCCTGGAAGCCGGCCAGCTCGGAGCCCCAGCCTAGTGCCTCGCAGTCCCGTGTGTCCGCCTGGCCGGCCCTGGCCCCGGGGCCCGGCCCTCCCCGGCCCCTGTCCAGCAGCCAGCAGGACCTCCACAGCCCCACGCTGCGCTTGCGCCCGTCCTCCAGCGTCTGGTACACCCAGTTGGGGGTGAAGGCTGCTGCGTTGTTGAGGATGAGTGAGACCAGGGCCACCAGCACAGCCACGGCCACAAGTCTCTGGACAGTCATCGCTGACCACCGGCGTTGCTACTTATCCGAGAAACCCCAAGTCCCGGTCAGCTGCTGTGCGTCAGGGAGAGCGACGCTGCTAGGGGAGGCTAGAGCACATCGCCGCTCATTCTCGGTGGTAGTGCGGGAGGCTCCAGCCGGGCAGGTGAGACGCTCGGAGGGGTCGGTGTTGGGAGAGGCCCATAGGACAGGTCCAGGTGAGCCCACCTCACGGCCCTGCCTTATCCTGCTTCCTGCACCTGGAGCAGGGCCGCACCTGTGCTGCAGCCGGTAGCTGCGAGGCCCATCCCGGGGAGGAAACGGGGGCACCGGCGCGAATCCAGAGTTGTGAGCGTGCCGTCGTCCTGGGTAGCAGAGGCCAAAGGAGGCTGCGTGTGCCTCTCCCCCTGCAGCAGCAGAAAACAGAAAATAACTCAGGAGGCAGGCGGCAGCGTGTGAGTCCGGCCCCAGGTCACGCTCCGAACAGGGCAGGTTCGGCAGCTGCCCCTCTGCTGCCTGGGCCCTGTCCAGTGCTCCACAGCGGATGGCAGGTCCTGGAAAGCAGAGCACCCGCTGCGCGGAAGTGTGTGCGCTCGAGCTGGAGCTCTCCCCGTGTCTCAGCAGAGAGGAAATGGTTGTTTTTGAGGCTGTTTTGGTGAGCTGGAGGGCGTAGCCAACTGCAACAAATAGCAGCCCTGCCACCGCAGCCAGACACTAACAGGATGTGTTTCCTGATGGGAAAGGCCTGGGGAGACTTCTGAGGCCCTGCTCCAGGCCAGCCCCTCTGCTGCCCCCTCCCCACCTTCCTGTCCCAGAGGAGAGGCCAGGGATGCCAGGCACGGGCCACACCCGCCATCTCACCCATTGCCGTGCAGCCTGGCAGGCCGCAGAGGCAGGCTCCTGTTTTGGGACCCAGGGCCTGGGGATGCTGTGGACATCTGGGGGCAGGTGGGACCCTAAGGGCCAGTTGCTGACTTTGGCTACTGTCCATCCACCCAACCATCCAGCTGTTCCCCAGCACAACAGGCACCGCCAGCCCATGATGTGCCAGGCCTGCCTCCATCCCCAGGGTTCTACCCTGGAGTGGGGCACAGCTAGCAGAGGGATTTCTGGGTGGGGCAGAGACCCACGGCCTGGGGGAGCAGGTGTGCCCAGACCTACCAGTCAGGGACTGCACTTGCAGCACCTTCGTTCTGGAGGTCATCCCTGAGGTGGCGAGAAGGGGTAGGATTCTGGACATGCTGGGTGTGGCACCCAGCAGGGCCTGGAGTGGAGCAAATGTGGTTTTGGCCTGGCCCATGCTTTGTTCTGATGGAAACGGTTGCCCCCCACAGCTAGGTGAGGGCCGAGGCCGGTAACTCTGTGCGCCGTCCTGTTGTCACACAGAGTAAGCTGCTGGGAGCGCGGAGGAATCGTCACTGTTTGCTCAGACCCTTTGGCACCAGTGGACAGACACAGCAGGAGGGGCTGGGACGCTGTGTCCCTTCTCCAGAGAGCCCGCCAGGGCTTTAAGCAACTGTGGATGGACGAGAGGATGTAGGTGTCCCACATCCCGTCTGAACTGTTCCTGGCGCACACCCCCCAGGCACCATTCAGCAGAAAGGGCTCTGTCAGTGCCAGGGCTTCTAGAGGGAGCGGGAGGCCTCTGAGCGCTTCCTGCCTTCATGCACTGCCCATGCCGGGGGCCTGGGCCCAGGGCTGCCCCGAGAGCCCCCCATTTCCCAGGATTGGTCCTTTCAGTCGGTTGGGGTGTGGCCTTGTACGTCACATGTGACTGGAGGGGCCCTGCCCGCCAGGTGTGCGTGCCGGAAAGACAGGAACTCTGAGCTCTGTCTCTGACGAGCCTGTGGTGAATCCTCAACCTGGGAAATGTTTGTCCGTAGATTCCCTGAGGGATTTTGCCTATTTTAGGGTCTTTCCCGTTGGAGTTTGTAGATGTGTCAGTTGAGTTTCTTACTACTCTCCCTTCTTTCTTGGCTTATGCCGGATCAAAGTTGCTGCGTCTGTTGTTCTTGTCTGTTCGCTCCAGCCTGTCTGTGCTCATGTTCTCACACCAGGAACGTGACGGGGAGTGCATGGCGGTGGAACGTCTGCCCTCGCTGCTCTGCGCAGGCTCAGGGGTCCTGGGGAGCGGCCCACAGTCCTGCCTGCACGTGTCCTTCTCTGAGCACGTGGGGTGCAGCGTCTCAGATGTCCACACTCCTAAGCACGCAGTGCAGTAGGCTGCCTTGAAAAGGAAAATTTCCCAAAACTTTCCAGTAGGAAAGAATTTATTCCCCTCCTTAATTATATCACTTATCTTTAGGTAGTGTTTAAGTGACTAATGTCCACTAAAGAGCTAGTGGCGTCTCAAAGCCCAGAGGAGAAGCAGCCCTGTCTGGTCCTTTCCTTGGGCTGAGTAAGGCGCCACAACCAGGCACCCACCCACGGGATGGCCTCAGGTGCTCCTTAGGGGGCCGGAGCTGGGAAGTCCTGTGTCACAGCTGCCATCATCAGCCCTGCCCACCGGCACTGCTGGCAGGGCTCCTGTCAGGCCATCGGGTCCCTGTGCCCTCGGCCGTGCCCCCCGGCTTCTAGCTTCTGCAGTGTGGGAGGCCGGGCTCAAGAGGGCAGAAGTTAGGATTGTCCGTCCTGGGAGGAGATGCTGTCCTCAGAGGGTCTGTGGTGCTCACGGCAGGGGTTCCGCCCGAGGGGACTCCTCTTCTCCCTGCTGCTGGGTGTCTTTGGTCTGCCTCAGAGTGTTAACTGCAGCTCCCATGTGTGTATCTGCTGCTCTCATACTCGCACAACACAGCTTAACACAGAACAGAGATGGTGGGAAGATTTGGTGACAGCAAATGTGTCCTTCGATGGGACATCCAGCTGCTAATCTTCTGGTCGCCCACTGTCTGGACACAGAGGTCTCAGCAGAGCTTGCTGCAGCACACGGGGCTTTGCAGAAACCAGGTCCGGTGCAGGGCCGGCATCCTGCTGCCCATCTGCTTCTTATTTCAGGCCCCGAGAGTTGATGAAGTGCAGATGTGCGTGGCTTTCCACAGACCCGCCTGGACAGCAGGAAATTCTCAGGACTTGGATGGGGAGACTAAGAGGGTGTTTACTTCTTGGAATTCATGTCAGATGCACAACCCCCAGAACCCTGCACTAGAGTCGAAGCTGTCCCTAGATCCTTGGCAAGTTGTGTGTGGAGAGAATGTCAGGAATCGGATGGGGGTTGATACGGCTCTGCCAGGACACAGCTGGGGGAGAGTGCAGCACGTGCTCTGCGGAAGCTGCAGCTAACTCTCTGGGCCCAGCAAGTCTGAGCTCAGCTGGGTGAGGGGCCCCTGCCCTCCCTGTGCTTTGCTCACAGCAGCCTCAGCCCAGTGGGAAGTGGGGGGGCCTGTTGGGGCCTGAGGGGGCGTTTCCCGAATCTGTCTGCCTGGCTGGTGCTGTGTGGGAGCATGAGCTTTCCAGAGCCCTGCGTGGTGCAGACTCAGTTCCCGGGACAGAGGGCTGGCGGCAGTAGCAATGTGATGGACAGGTCCCTGGTCACACACGTGCGCAGTGAGCCGTGGCAAAGCTGAGTCAGCTCCTCGGGCCTCTTTCTCCCTCCCAAGAGCGGCCTGGCCCTGGCGGACGCAGCCTGCCCTACAGGAGAGACAGGGCACTTCAGAGCAGACGGGGCCTGGCTGGGCCCATGTGTCAGTTGCCAGGTTTCTCTGCTTATTTAGGTCATTCTCCGCTTTTATGTCATTTTTAAGAGACAGGATCTCACTTTGTCACTCAGGCTGGAGTGCAGTGGTGTCACCATAGCTCACTGCTACCTTGAACTCCTGGGCTCAAGTGATCCTCCCGAGTAGCTGGGACTACAAGCACACACCACGATGCCTAGCTGATTTTTTTTTCAGAGACAGGGTCTCTCTATATTGCCCAGGCTGGTCTCAAACTCCTGGCCTTAAGCAATTCTCCTGCCTTGGCCTCCCAAAGAGCTGGGATTATAGGTGTGAGCCACCTCACCTGGCCTGCTCTCCACTTTGATGGGGTGTGGACCCAAACTGTTGGTTTTCCAGACAAGGCAGAGGAAAGGGAGCCGCCCCCTCCCTGTGCAGAGGCACGTTCCATCCCATCCAGCCCCGCGCACCTGGCCTCAGGAGACAGTTGAGAATAAACACAGATTATTTTTAAAAGGTTCCAATCACGTGAAATCATTTGGAATGGGAGGATAAAAAAGGTCTGATGCCTAACCAGCGTTTTGCTGTTTATGGAGCAGTCAACAGGCATCAGGCACTCAGTTTGTGCAGTAGGCCTGGGAGGGCGGCTCCAAGCCCCAGAGCGCCTGAGACCACCCAGGGCTGCTAGAGAAATGAAGAGTCTCTGAGGAGCTATGACATCGCTTCTGTCCATTCAGTAGAACTTATTAGAAGCTGCGTGGTAAGAACAGGGTATTTCTCTGATCAGATTTCTCAAATTTCCAGGTTTGACCCCTGCACTCCATGTGCCGCCATTCACTGGCGTTCCCAGACCCAGCAGTGTCTCAGAGAGCCCAGGCCACCCAGTTTGACCTGTGTCCCACAGGATCCTGGGCTGGGGCCAGGAGACCCCCACAGAGGCAGCTTTGTCTGGGCCATTTATGAGCAACTTGTCCTTCCCGTGCATTTAACGAGCACTTCATGGTGGAAGACAAGACAGCTTTGGTTTTCTGTTTATCATAAAGAAAGAAATTTTAACACAAAGAAGGTGATTTCTTGGCTGAAGCCCTGGGTGGCCTAGTCTAAAACAGCCTCTTCGGGGAAGGAGCGGGAGCCGTGGCTATGTGGGCCTGGGCAGGTTCTCGGGTGTCTACAGCGGCACAGCTACTGTTAGCGATTTGGATTCTGAAGCCACAAGGATGAGGAAAGCAAACCAAGCTCCATGAGCGAGAAATGGGTGGTGCTGCCAGGGACCTGACCCTCAAGAGGCCCCGCCGCCATGCAGTCCTTGACCACGGTGCTCCTCGAGTGTCCTTGAGGGTGCCAGTGGGCATGAGCCCCTCAGGGTTGTGAGAAGCCCCCAGATGAGGGCACCAGGGGGTGCTGAGCCCAGAGTGGGGGAGGAAAAGTCAGCTCACGTCCAGGTGCCGTGGGCGGGGTGTGGACGCACACTGCCCTGGCTCCCAGGACACCGCGTACCGCCCTGCAGAGGCGCCTGCTGAGCCACAAGTTACCGCATAACCCTCCCGCACACAGGGGCTGCCGTGGGTGAATCTTCCCTGCCCTTGTCGCTCGGTAGCACGCATCGACCGAATCAACTGAAGTTCCAGCAGGACCCAAGCAAATCCAAAACACATACAAAAGGCGTACATTGGCTACAGGAAAGGCACCAGACATGCAGTGTTTCAACCGCTGACACTCACAGTGATGTCCATCAGGGGACGGACCCCAGCCTCGGGACTGCAGTGAGCTGGCCCCGCCACCCGGCACTTCCATCTTGGAAGGGTTTTCGCGCAGATTGCATCTGAGGGAAGCTGAGATGCGGGTCGCCTACAGCGGGGCTGGGCCCTGACCGCCCTCTTCTCGGGAGCTGGTCCTTCTCCAGGCAGCACACACACCCCTGCGTCCCCTCACTC